AGGAAATACGTTAAAAAAACCAGTTAATTTTTTTCCGGAAAATTCCATTAGTATAGTACAGTACATTTCGGAGCATAATAATCTACAAAACCGGTATATTAGCTAGTGGGGCGTTATACATTCGAAATTGTAAGCGTTCTTATTTTGAAATCCCATACAACAGAATAAAACATCTGCTCATGTGTCTATGGCTTGGCAATAAAAATATCAGAGCAACAGATTGGGGATGGTATTCCAAAGATGGTTTGTTATTACCCGTACGCATGAACAAACAACCTGCACCCGATGAACTTTTGAAAATTACTTTTTGCCAATGCAAAAAAGGATGCGGCGTTTCATGTGGGTGCAGAAAAGTTGGTTTATACTGTAACTCTACTTGTTCTGGGTGCTCAGGTGAAGGGTGCAATAACAGTCCACCAATAATTGAAGAAGATGAGGATGACATAGATTACGATGAAGATGTAATTGATGACAAATAAAATTAATATTATAATTGTTTTACCTATAAATGTAAATATTTTCAACTATTTATGTAAATGTATAAGAATATAATTATGGTGCCTTTTTATGTTGATAAATTTTTTTGTATTTAATTCTACTTTTTTCAATTTATATCTTATAAATTAGTTTATAAAAACTGCAATGTTGTAAAGGGTGATTTTCAAAAGTTGAAAAGTTGCAAAATTTTGGCAAAAAATTGTTATCACCTATAGCACTCATAACAATTGATTTTTAAGGGTTGAAAATAAGTATGAATTTGTATTTTAAAGTATAAAAAAATCACTATTTAACTAATCCAAACCAAATTTCACTCATCTTAAGATTTGTAATATTATTTTACAATTTTTGAAAATTAGGGGTAGTTTTCAGCCCTAAGAACAATCAGGGTTCATCGGCATGACGTAAACTATAAAGCAGAGGGTGAGTTGAGCTTAATTCCAAATTTTTATGCAAATCGTTCCAAGGTGAAATAATTTTCTTCGCATTACTAATTTTTCTATATTAATCTCTAATAAGGGTCGCTTTTTAAGGGTTGAAATATGATGGAACTTTATTCAAAAACACGAAACTATCATTATTTAATTAATTCAAACCAAATTTTACCCATATTCAGGTTTAATATGATATTTTATAATTTTTGACAATTAGGGGTAGTTTTCACCCCTAAGAACAATCAGGGTTCGTCGACATGACATAAACTATAAAGCAGCGGGTGAATTGAGCTTAAATCCAAATTTTTATCCAAATCGATCCAAGGCGAAATCATTTTTTTAGAATTAGTAATTTTTTACATTAATCTTTAACAAGGGTTGCTTTTTAAGGGTTGAAATATGATGGAACTCTATTCAAAAGTATAAAATAATTATTATTTAACTAATTCAAACCAAATCTTACCCATATTCAGGTTTAATATGTTATTTTATAATTTTTGACAATTAGGGGTAGTTTTCACCCCTAAAACCCTTCAGCGCACTTCGGTTCGATATAGATTTTGATCCTTGGGCTATCACCTACCTTCTGTTAAAATTTCAACTGGATAAATGCAGGACGAAAAATTTGCGAAGTTTTAACTTTTTTCGAGCCTCATTTCCTGAACTATTATCGCTTCCTTAGATAAACCCGTCTTACGCAAACAACATTGTTACGAGATAGATAGTTGAACGATATTTGTAACAATGTCTATACCCAGGTATGGATTTATTTTTGTCCAAGTTTTATATTGGTCCACTATTTCAAATGCAGTTCAAACAGACATGTATTAAATTGTATGTTCCGTTTTAATTTGGTTCAATCTGTATATATATATATATATATATATATATATATTATATATATATATATATATATATATATATATGTATGTATGTATATATAAAAGGGTGAGCAAAAACAATGAGTAAAAAATGTAGAAAAAGTACCAAATCAGCTTTCAGAACTATCTAGATGAACTAAAGAGGATGGAAAAATATTTTAAAGTAAGCCTTGAGTCACTATGACTTGTTGCGTTTTATACACAAAACTTTTTTGGACGTTGCATCACAATGTCAAAACAAAAGGTTGAAGAGGCCAGAAGTAATAAAAGGGTCTTTTAAAGGACTGCTTGTGAATAATAGAAAAAATTATTGAAGGAAAATTACTTAACAATATAATAAAAAAAATATTTTTTTCAATTTCAATAACCAGGAATTTGAAGAGTTTTTCCATTAATGTACAGGATGTTCCACGATGAGCTTACCCTATCTATATATTGGAATTTACTTCCACGATATTTATGAAAATTGTTTTGTGAAGATTATAAGTTTTGACAAACTTAAAAAATATATATCGACAGACATGCCACTTTGAGCACAAGTGAACAATAACTTTGTTATTTTAAATAGAACACCATATTAGATATATATTATTTCAATTTTAGATTTGGCATAAAACTCTAGACAAAATTTTTAAACGGTACCATAGGTCAAAACTTATTTATCTTTATTTAAAAATTTCGATAGATAGACAATCTTTTCTAAGTCAATATCTAATACATTTACAAATATATTATCTGGAGAACGTTTACACATAAAAAGTAGGTAATGTTCTTTCAGGAATTGAATTTGAAAACGAATTTCTAATGATCCGCCATTTCTTTAGTAATGGCCATCTATATATAAAAAATTAAAATTTTTGGAGATAATTTAAGAGCTTATTTCAAAAATGTCTTAAATCCATGAAATGGTGAAACTTACAAATTACAGATTTTCAGATTTACAGACATGTCCTGTATTTAAGACGCTTTGGGAATAACAAAGTATTTAATAGGATTAATAACGGGTAAATTTTAATTAGTGAACTCAAATATTGGATATTTCACGAAATGTTTTTATTTGTTCCTAGTTTACAATAGGAAATGTTAGACAAAACAGCTTTTAAAAGTTATTCAATCATCATCATTGTCACTCGAAATAGAGTGTTCAATAGCATTACTTGTATCAGCTGATAAAATTTTCTGCCAAAATGACATGGCAGGATGCTGTTCGAAGATACCTAGCTTACTTAGAAATAATTTAATATCTTTTAACTTCTATTTGTTAATTAAATGGCCTCTCTGTTTGGATTAAGAGATGACTATTTCTTCTCTGTTTTTAACAGTGTATGAAAACATGGAAAGGTCAGAGTAGCTGGAGCCACCCACTCTGCTAGCTGTCATCTCTATGGATTTCATTTCTCTTATATTGAAGTCCATTTTCAAGTTTATGTTCCTCCTAACCGATATTTTCCAATCATAAGTAAACCAGTCCTTGCCGAGAACAAACACATCTACAAACTTTTCAAATGTGGTAATTAACCAAACGCAACCGAGTAAACGATCATGATGAATCACGTGACTTGTATGCGCTCATGGATTGGCCAGCTGGATATAAGACACTTTAAAAATAAAATTAGTCAGGAAATAAAACGGCTTGAAAATAAATACAATTTTCAAATGCATTTTCAAATGGTAAATAAGTCGTTTTGGTACATAAAACGGTATTCAGACCTGAAGAAAGCATAATGTTTTCAGTAAAATAAAATCCTCAAAAAATCTTAAATTTTGGATTTAAGACACTTTGGAAATAAGCTCTTCAATTCTGGTTTGATGTTAAAGATAAGTGATTTATTGTTTTTTTAGGAGGGCTTGTATGAAGATGGATGCCATCATTGTCATTATTTGTGGTTATTTGCCCTGTTACGAAATGACAGAAATGGCTCGTTTAAAATTAAACAAAGAAGATTGCGTAAATTTACTTTTAATACATAGAGAATGTGACAGGGGTTAATAGTAGAATATGTACTTTATCTGCTAAAGAAATCCAGATCTGCGTCTATAGAAAAAGTTAAGAAAACGAAGCCTATTGTTGATAATAATGATCATACGTTGCGTCAGTATGTTGTGGTGAGAGATATTTAGATACACGAATGCCATCTATTCAGCCAATTTAAAAAAAATCATCCCTATTCTTCCACCCCAGTTTAAATTGTAAAGGAAACAGAGTGTAACAAAAGAATAGAATTCAAAAAACGGAATATTTAATAGGCAAAATTCGCATTACTGGAGCGAAGTATTTAACAATAGTACACGGTTTTCAACAGCATTGGGAGTTTAATGTCTTTTCTGCGAGATAACCAGGTTGTAGCTTCCTAATTTTATGATGGTAACATAAACGTTTAGAAATTGCAGTTAAATAAAGTTATAAGTTTTTATTTTCTAATAACTACTTTTTTAGGTGAAAGATATCTCAATAGATATTTTAAAATAAAAATTTAGGCAATCTCGATTGTTTAATTCTAGATGTGCGATTTCTAGGAAGAAAACACATTCCCCACATAATGAAAGTAAATTTACGCCATCTTCATCCTTTAATTCTAAACGAGCCATTTCTATTACTTTGTAAATAGTAGAGCCAATATCCACAATGAAAATAATGGTGACACCTTCATACGCTGCCTGCTAAAATAAAGCAAAAAATCTTTTATTTTTAACATTAAACCACTTATTAAAATATAAACATTTTATCTGTTTGGAAATAGAATAACCTTCAAAATGGCATATTAAAATTTTTTATAAATTAATTTGTTTATAACATTTTTAAAAATTGACTTATATCTTTGTGACTACCCCCAAATTGGAAACTTATAATGCTTAACAAACCCTTAATCCATCCACGCACTAAGTTGATTTCTGTACATGTTGGACAGGCAGTTTACTTAAATATTTTTAAAAGCCCTTTTAAAGGCCCCTAAAAGATCTACAAACATTTGAAAAAACAATGCAAAAAATTCGGGATGAATTGGATATAGTTATTGACCAACTAGATTCGGAGCTAGTAGAATCCGATGAAGTCCTCAATCCGATGTATCTGTTTTAATGAATAATGAAATAGAAGCATTGGCAGTTTGCGATTCATATATATATATATATATATATATATATATATATATATATATATATATATATATATACTTTGAACATATATCTACACTTTGTTATCGAAATTTTTAAGCATTTCGTTTAAGTCAAAGACATTAATATTAAGACTTTTATAAGAATTTTTATTCACATCATTGAAAACTGTCCTTCCCTTTAATAACTGTTTGGTCCCTTTTAGTAGACAGGCAGTATCTTCTAATGTTAATTTTAGATTACTCCAACTGTTAGTTGTACTACAAGCTCTTAGGGTAGTTCTAGTGCTTTCTTTTACGCTTCGACTTGGACTGAAACAAACAGAAAAGGTAGTTAATTATTAAAGGCTTGATATTTTAATGAAGTTGTCGGATAGTTCTTATTTCAAAATAACAAAATTCGCATACTATAGCAAATAAAAGAAAAATTAAATGTATTTTAAAATAAAAATACATTTGATTAAAATTTTAATTTGTTTATTTTGAATTGTAAAGCCAATCTGTCATATCTCTGGTCATTCAGGTCTTCTTGTTGTTGTACCTGTCGACTTATAGTTTATCAACATGAAAATTTTTAAAATATTGAGCATTTTTACATAAGTGTACCCCCAGTGCACTTTTTATTACGAAATGTAAAAGTTTTACTTGGTAAGGGTCGATAAAACACACCAGTCTTGCCAGCGTTACAAATATCTTCAGGTAAATAGCCACTTAATAAATTTGGCAGTTTTCTTTGCCACTCTTAAACCTCGCCAAAGTTAACACTTGCAGTTTCTCCAGAAATTTCTTTTAATTTACTGTTATATCTTAAACAAAACTTTTCAATCCAATCATTGGAAGCTTTAAAATTAAAATTTAGTTCTTTCGTCGCCTCTAAATATCTTTCTTTAATTATTATTGGTCCAGATAATGGAATGTTCTTACTTCTCACTTTACAAAATGAATGGTACACCATAGTATCGATAGCAAAATTCCACTTTCAAGACTATAATTATTTTTTTTAGATGTTTCTATCACCGATATTTTTTCGTCCAAACATATCACTAAACATATCAACTAAATTAAAAATGTATACAAAGGATGAATAAATTCTAAAATGAGTTTTTCCAAATCAAACTAGATGTAAGCAGACTCAGGTAATGAAATCAAATAAGTACTAGCAAAAATAATAATAAAAATAACACCAAAACATTTTTTATAGGAAATCACCGAGGAAAACTTCAATGTAGAATCACTGTAGAACGACTTTTCAAGAGAAACGTACTAAAGGAGGCTAGCACAGAAGATTTCTTTTATTTTTTTTTTATTTATTTATTTATTGCTAACTTATAATCGAAGAAGAGCGAAGTTAGAATGGGAAATGAGAGGTGAAACTTTGAAAACACTCAAATCAGGGCATATATTCTATCAGATTGGTCCTGAAATTACATCAGTTGGAGGCATCGGTTTCTTTGTCCATAAAAATCACGCGAACAAGATAATAAACATCAAAAGTATATCATCTAGAGTGGCATATCTTATTCTGAAGCTGAACAGTAAGTATCAACTCAAAATTATCCAAGTATACGCTCCAACAACAGACCATACAGACGAAGAAATTGAAATGTTTTATGACGATGTATCCACTGCGCTTGATGATTCTCGTACTCAATTCGCAATTTTATGTGGCGATTTCAACGCAAAAATAGGGGTAAAAGAAGCAGATCTAGAAACACCTTTAGGATAATTCGGTTCCCCAGGAAGAAATGTTCTAGGAGAAAAGCTACTAGGATTCCTACTCCAGAATAACTTATTCAACATGAACAGCTTCTTTCACAAAAAGATGCACAGAAGATGGACTTGGGAAAGTCCAAACGGTAGAACAAGGAACGAAATCGACTACATCATAAGTGATCAAAAACAAATAATTAAAGATGTAACAGTACTCAAGAAGTTCACCACAAACAGCGACCACAGGATGATATGAGCGAAAGTTCAAATCAATATACAAAGAGAAAGGAATATAAAGATTAAAAATAAATTTCATGGTATCTGGACACCCCCATTAGATATCAACCAATATCAGACACATATCAATAATAAGCTTCTATTGCAGGAAACCTCCGCTAACGATATTAACGACTTGAATAACTGCATCATAAACGCCTTACAAGAAAGTCACCGAGTGCACTGTCCTAAAAGAAAATCAGATAGTAAAATAAGTCCATATACTGAAACGCTCTTGGATCAAAGAAGACAAATGAGAAGCGATAAGAATGTAGATAGCAACACTTGAAAAATGGACAAAACTGTTTCGAAAGCAATTAGGAGAGATTTAAGGAAATTTAATACCGATTATATTAAACGCACTATAGAGGAAAATAACAGCCTAAAAGTTCTACGTAGAAAGCTAATGAATGGGAAATGCGAAATTAATAAATTAAGAAACAAGCAAAATGAAATAATATCACGTAGAGACGAGTTAATACAGGTCGTCGAAGAGTTTTACGAGGACTTATATAGAAGTAGACGAGAAGATAAAACAGGAATACAAACAGCCATTTCAAAGAAGATCAAGAATCAAGGTTCCGAACTAATGCCAGAGATAAAGCTAGATGAGATTCGACAAGCATTAAGAAAAATGAAAAATAACAAAGCCCCAGGAGAGGATGGAATCGTAATAGAAGCTATCGTAAATGGAGGAGATATGCTATTAAATAAGATAAGGAAACTATTCAATCTATGTTTGCAGCAAAGAGAGATGCCCATAGAGTGGAACAATGCTACAACCATCCTTTTACATAAAAAAGAAGATAGAACGGACCTAGAAAATTATAGACCTATTAGCCTGTTGAACCACATATACAAGCTCTTCACTAGGGTAGTGACATCAAGATTGGAGAAAAAATTAGATTTCTACCAACCGAGAGAGCAGGCAGGATTCCGCTTAAATTATGGTACCAATGATCACCTCCACACAGTAATAACACTCATTGAAAAATCTATAGAATATAACAAACCTCTTGTTCTCACTTTCATAGATTTTCATAAAGCGTTCGACACGATCGAATTAGACAGCCTTATAGAAGCAATGAATGACAGCAGGATTGACCATAGATATAGTGAGCTTATTTATAATATTTACAAAAATGCCACTATGGCTGTTAAAATAGACAATAAAACCCGACCAATAAAAATAAATCGTGGAATAAGGCAAGGAGATACATTGTCGCCGAAATTATTCATAACGGCATTAGAATATGCCTTTAAGATGATCAATTGGGACCACAGAGGAGTATCGATAGACGGCGAAAAGCTTAACCATCTCCGTTTCGCAGATGACATTGTCCTTATCACAGATAATTTAGGAGAAGCTACAGATATGATAAACGAATTGGATTTTGCATGTTCGAAGGTGGGCCTGAGAATGAACTTGACCAAAACTAAGTTTATGACAAATTTAGTCCCCAATAACCATTTGACTATTCAAGACAAAGTGGTAGAACTGGTGGAGAAATATACGTATTTGGGTCATGAAATAAGAATCAGCAGGGATAACCAAACATGTGAGATCCAAAGACGAATTACTTTAACATGGGCAGCCTTTGGAAAACTGCGAGACACACTTAGGGCCAACATACCAATCAGCCTCAAAAGAAAAGTGTTTGACCAATGCGTATTACCGGTCATGACCTATGGGGCGAAAACTATGACTTTAATCAAGACCACGGCTTCGAAACTGAGAGTGGCACAGAGACGAATGGAACGGTCTATGCTGGGAGTGACGTTGAGGGACCGAATAAGAAACGAAGATCTGCGAAGAAGGACGAGTATTACTGATGTTGTGGAACGCATAGCGGAACTAAAATGAAACTGGGCAGGCCATGTAGCGAGAATGCACGATTCACGATGGACGAGCAAAATTACAAATTGGAGGCCAAGAGCAGACAAACGCAGTAGAGGAAGACCACCTACACGTTGGGCCGACGACATCAGGCGTATCACTAAAAATTGGCAACAAAGAGCACAAAATCGTGAGGAATGGAGGAGTTTAAGGGAGGCCTATGTCCAGCAGTGGACGTGATAAATAGAGGCTGGATGATGATGATGATGATGCTGGTCGGTCAGATAGTTCAGCGGGCTGTGCGGCTGCCTCTCATTCGCTTCACTGTCGAATGGTTTAGTGGATGTGGGTCGAGCCCAAGCTCGGTGTACAGAAAACAAATAGTCTAACGCAGCAGTTTAAAATTCTAGATGATTCTCCTCTACGGGATGGAAACATGGACATTAAAAAAGATCGATACCAAAAAGATAGAAGCATTTGAGTTGTGGATGTATCGTAGAATATTAAGAATACCCTGGACAGAGAAAGTAACAAATGTGGAGGTTTTGCGGAGAGTGCGGAAAGAGAAAGAGCTGATACTTACTGTTAAAAAGCGCAAACTACAATATTTGGGGCATGTTATGAGGGGAGATAAATACCAGTTGCTGCAATTGATTATACAGGGGAAGATAATGGGAAAGAGATCTATAGGAAGAAGAAGGCATTCATGGTTGAAAAACTTGAGAGAATGGTACAATTGCACCAATTACCAACTGTTTAGATCTGCAGCATCAAAAATACGCATAGCTTTGATGATAGCCAAACTTCGGAACGAAGACGGCACTTGAAGAAGAAGAATATTGAAGAAAAAACAGGCTTTAAAGCCTACATATAAAAATGAAGAAGAAGAAGAAACTCGATGTACTTAGGTACCTAAGTACAGTATGTATTAGTACCTAATTTTATGACCATAAGTACTTATATAATTTGTTTTGTGGCTACTATAAGTTATGTACATATTTGAATTTACGGAGCCCCAATTCTAATCTTTTAATCGCCTTTACTGTCCGTTGTTGGCAGGTAAAGTTACAATTATTTCTTAGAAAAACTGAAGGCAAATTTTGTTCGGAGTCGCTGTGAAGAAAGTCCTTTGTCCAAATGTGTCTTCCTATTTACCCTCATATGAAGTGTTCGGTGACCTAAAAACTGTCCGTTCAGCAGAGGCTTCCGTTGTGGAGATGTGTCCATTAACAGAAGTTTTACTGTACCTAGAATATGTTTTGCTGCAAAGACTGCACTTTTTTGTTTAAACCCTAGTTGTCATTAAATATATAAATACATATGTACATATGCATACATGGCCTTCATTCACACGTGGATAAATATGTATGGATATATCAATACAGTTCGATTATTCGAAAAATCCGATTGAATAAAAAATTTCAATTTCAATTCAATTTCAACAATTAAGTATGCGACACTCAAGAAAATCCACGTTAAATTTTAGGGACAGCCACAAACAAAAATGAAATAAGAGCCTTCCTAGGGGTAATAATCGCAGTGGGTCTCACTCAGGTACCACATTTAAATTTATATTGGTCTAAAGATGATATATTTTATAATAAATGTATCGCAAAAGTTTTAACTCGAGACCGTTTGTTGCTTTTATTGAAACTTCTTCATTTTGAAAATAATAAGATATCTGATACTACTAATGGATTATGCAAAATAGAAAATTAAGTTACGAAATTGATTCAAAAGTTTCAAATAATAATGGAGCCTGGCACATTCTCGTTATATATGAATCTATGGTACCTTTCATAGGGAGACTCCATTTTCGTCAGGACATCCCCAACAAGACTCATAAATATGGAGTGAAACTATACAAACTATGTTCTACTGAAGGCTATACTTCCAATGTAAGTATTTACACAGGAAAAATAAACAACAACCAGGTAATGTAGCACACTCTGAAGCAGTTGTTCTAAAATTACTTAGTGTATCACAGATAAATCTGACAAAATATTATTTGCTGATAACTTTTACTCAGGAATACCTCTCGTTAAAAGATTGTTAGCAGAAAATATGATGTACTATCGGACTCTAAGAGGAAATAAAAAAGGAATATCACCTATTTTTATCCAGTCCAGAAGATGAAGAGAACAGAGGTCATTTAAAAAAAGGAAGATGGACTAAGAATTATTAAGTAGATGGATAAGAGACTTGTGTTAATGATTTCAAGTATCACAGCCCATACTATAAACAGTTGATTCCAACAGGAAAGCAGAATCGGCAAAAAGAGGATATTGTGAAACCGAAATGTATAATTGATTACAACTTTACAAAGAAAGGCGTAGACTATTCTGATTAGATGTCATCTTACCCTACAGTGGAAGCTTCAAATTGTACCAGTTAGAAAAAAAATAAGTTATAATTTTCATATATCTTTCTTATTATTTTTTTTAGGAAAGCAGTACTTGAGACGATACTGGGAACAGCTATTGCTAATAGTTTAATTATATTCAATCTGAAACAAAAATGAGCATTACAGAATTTAGACGTCAACAAAAAGAGTGCATACTTTTACCAAACCTGAAGGACCTGGAAGGAAACGACGAAATCCATGTAGAGACTGTCGTCAAGTATTAAAATCTTCAGGTTTAAGTTACCGTGAAGGGGATAAAAAAGTTCGTATAATTTTTAATTTTTGTTTTGATTACCCTGGTCAACCTCCATACTGTTTCCCTTGGTTTAATTAGACACATAATTAATAAGAATAAGCAGAAATTACCAGTCAATTTTAAAATGCCTTTGTTTTGTTCATTTTAGTATAAAGTATTTTGTTTTTATAAACACCTTCAATTTTATCCAATTACCTCCAAGAGAAAATTTGTTTAGCTGTCTGTGCTACATCGGATGTTCGCGGCATGTCCTGTTTGAGAGGAAAGTAGATTAACCCATTAGTGCCTAGCGTTACAATTATGTAACAGCAAAGTGGTGCCATCTAAATAGATCCTCTGTTGCATACGTCGCAAATTTTCAGTCGAAAACAGGTCAGTTCTTGTCAGAAGGTTATACTGTTTACATCGTTTGAAGTGTGCTATTTTATTAGAACTTTGCTTTGAGTTTGTGCCTCGATAAAGTATAACTAAACAAATAAAGCTTCAAATAATGGACTTCTGCTGAAAAGTTTCTGCAGCCCAGGATTGGGTTTAGGGAGATTTTACATATAACGAGAGACAATTTCCTGAGTCAGATTATTCACTGTTTGAAAACAAATCAGTTGTAGATATATTCGAAATGTTCATAGATGAAGAAATCATTTTATTTTTGGTACAGGAAACAAACCAATATGCTACTTTTAACAACCTACCCGACCCAGGAGTCTCGCCAGAGGAAATGAAATGTTTTATTGCTATACTGATTCTCAGTGGTTATAATGATCTTCCCAGCAAACGTATGTATTGGGAGCAAAGTCTTGACACCAGAAACGAACTTATATATAATTCTATCAGACGCAACAGGTTTGAGCAAATTTTGAGGCTTATTCACTTGAATTCTAACGCAAATATTGATAAAGGTGATAAGCTCTGGAAATTAAGGCCATTTATAAATAAAGTGAAAGACAGGTTCAGAAAGTATTTTGTTCCTGAAAAAGATCTGGCTTTTGATGAAAGTATGGTCAAATATTACGGTAAACATAGCTGCAAGCAATTTTTAAGAGCCAAACCCATACGATTTGGTTATAAAGTTTGGTGCCTAAATACAGTGATGGGCTATTTGATTGATTTCGAGATATATCAAGGAAAATCTGTAACTCCTGATATTGACATGGAAAGAAACTTTGGAAAAGCGGCAGCACCACTGGTGAAAATGATAGAAGAACTACCTGATAATCTGAAATCTTTTCCATTCTCATTTTACTTTGACAATTTATTTACTACATTCAGTTTATTGTCTTATTTACGTTTAAAAGGATACGGAGGCACGGGTACTATAAGAGAAAATCGTTTACCTAGGAGCTGCCCTTTATTGGCCAAAAAAGATCTTCACAAACAGGAAAGGGGATATTATGAAAGTGCTATTAGTAAGACAGATGCTGTACTAGTAGCTAAGTGGGCCGATAATTCCGTAGTTTGCATTGCTTCCAATAAATATGGTATCAATCCAATAACAAATGTTAGAGGTTATTCGCAAAAAGAAAAAAAACACATACAAGTTAGTAGACCAGCAGTATTTGCAGCATATAACAAAAAAATGGGTGGTACTGATCGAATGGATCAGAACGTTGGACAGTAAAGGATTCAAATTAGAAACAGGAAATGGTACTGCATTGTTTTCATGGCTTCTTGATGTTTCAGTCAATAACGCGTGGTGTTTGTATCGAAAATCAAACAACTCTCAGATGTCCCAAATAGATTTTCGAAGGGCTATCGTGAAAGTTTATTTGAAGAAATATTCGTCACCGCCCAAAGGCACTGGCAGAACTCCATCTCCATCTTCTAATGCGCAAAGAGCAGCCGATGAAGTTAGATATAATAGGATGGACCACCTAGTCGCTAAATTTCAAACGACAAAAGAAGGCGCTGTGCTGGAACATCTTGCAAAAGTTCAACACGCACGATATGTAGGAAATGTAACGTAGGTCTTTGTATCGATTGTTTCGTTACCTTTCATACAAACAAAAATGTTTAAATTCCATTTTATTTATTTTCCGTATTTAAATAAATAAAACTGTTTGCAGTTATATTTTGTATTTTCTTCACCCATTAGCTCCTAGCGTTACATATATGTAACGTCATATATTGAGTGATCTATAAATCCGAATACACAAATTCATTTATTTTTATGTTTTTTAATCAAACTGCTCCCAAAAAAATATTAGCATCACATTAAAAACTGGAAAAAAATAATCTGGGCACTAATGGGTTAATACTTCTATAATAGTTTTCTGTATGTAATATATGCAAAAGTTATGCTTCTGTGTACTAGAGTGCATGAAGTATTTACATGTACTAGTACTTAACTAGTATATTAAGTATCTAACCACCGCAGTCAAGGTGTTAAATAATTTTTCAATAATCCTATCAATCTTCATTGATTTTTAGAGAAATTCTATTATTTTAATTATTTTATTAGCGATCATTTCGTAAACCTGCGAATTTTGCAATTTTCGAAAAAAGGACCGCCCTACCGGGCTTTTGCCGTTGTTTTTTGTTGCTTAGTCGAACAACTGCGTAGTACCCTGGTCTCGATTTTGCCAAAATCGTACTTCTTTTTGTTCGGTTCCTGCCTCAAAACGGGTATAAAATCTACCCCGGTGTCAAGATGATTTGTAGATTTTCGTAGATCTTCGATAAAGTCTGCTATAATTGGTCCCTTGTAGTTAGTGACTGGGATTGTCTTCGGCAACGGAAGTATTTTTCGTATTTGGGTATCCCTGAAAGAAAAAGGAAATATTTTGAAACTATACTAAATGTCAGATTCACAATAAACAATCATGAAACAATAAACTGTACAAGGTGTTTCATTAGTAGGCGAAATGACTTTTTTTATTAATAGTCAAAAATTTACAATCTCCTCAGGAGAAAGAGATTTTACACTGAAATTACTACATAATTTTAGTTTAATATGTCTTGTTCCTATAAATCTTCTGAAAATTCCTGAAAATGTTTTCCATACTACTAAAAGTTCAGTTGCTAATTGGTTTCTGTGTTTTGATAGCCAGATAATTTTTCGAAATATTTGCTGCTAAAGAAACGAATTGCATCGTTAATCGTAAGAATGTCCAGGTCCTTATGTATAGTTTTGTTCGATACGTACCATGAAGCCTGGAGTATTTACAGAGTATTTTTTACTAAAGTCGTTCTATAATCTTGGAGTTGTTTGTCTTGGTGCAGCCCATAATTGAATACCGTATGTACTTCTTCTTCTTTAAGATCCATCTTATATCGAAGGTTGGAAATCATCATGGCCATGCGGACCCTGTTGACTGCCGCTTTATACACTTCTGCACTATTGCATTTAAACCATTTCCTCAAGTTCTTAAGCCAGGATATTCTTCGTCATCCCACATTTTGCTTTCCTCGAATTTTGTCTTGCATAGGAAGTTTTAATAATGAGTATCTTTGCCCTCTTATCACATGACCTATGTACTCAAGTTTACTTGTTTTAATAGTCAATATTATTTCAGCTTCATTTGCTATTCTTTTAGTAATTTCTGCGTTTGACATTCTTTGAGTCCATGATATTCGTAGGATTCTTCTGTAACACCAAAATTCAATGGCAGCCAACTTATTCAGATGCACTTGTTTTAATTGTCCATGCATTCAAGCCATAAAGAAGAGTAGTAGATACGTAACACCGAAGCATTCTTAGGCGTGATCCTAACCTTATATCCCGACAACAACGAAACTTTTTAAGTTTAACGAATGATGCTTGTGCTATTTCAATAAGTGTCTTAACTTCTTTGGCTTGGTCTACATTTGATGTTATCCATGTTACTAAGTATTTGTAGATATCTACACCCTCAATTACAGTATCTTTAACAATCAATTGGATGTTTTCATCTATCGATTTAGTCATGATCACATACCACTAATAACTAGACGTTTCACGTAGGTAGGCTCCAGGTCAAACTAAACTGAATGTCATTTGTAGTACCGATACAAATCTTTTGATATCGCCATACTCCACATATAGTCTATACTCTGCAGTTTAGGTTTAGAACCAAACTAAAAATTATAATTGTCAATCGCCAATTGTTAGTAATTTTTTTTTTATTGAGTTTAATGCGTCGACAACTAATGGTCATTGGCATGGTACAGTGAATTTTTACAGTCAGGTACCTAGTGTAGTGTGTGTGTAGTGTGATACTTAGCAAAGTCGACGTCATTGTCTTTGCTAAGAGACACCAATTGTATCCGAACGTCTGCGGTCCCTCCGGTGAGTACCGATCGCACAAGGATAGAAATTATTTTCATTCATTAATTTTTAATAAACGAAAATGTCTCCACCCAGGTGAGATTCGAACTCACGACCTTTAGGTTCAAAGGTAGGCGCTCTTACCACTGAGCCACAGAGGGGGTAATTGTCAGTAAATCAGATTAGATCAATCAGATTTCAGATGGTTATTATTCGTCTAAATTGTTTGATTTGGCCGTTATTATTGCAAAGAAATCAAACTAAACTTGGTTTAATAACTCTGGGTTATTGTTAGCATTAACCTGTGGCTTAGTTTTATAAAAAAATCCTAATTTAGATATGATTAATTCCACAATTCCACTAGTTTTTAAAACAAAACGAATATGAAGATAAGTTTGCTTCTACATGGAGTCATAGCTTGTACCAAAATGCAATTTCCGAGAACAAATAGCTGATTTATTTTGGATTCTTCTTCTAATCTACATCCCAGAAGTATTTCAATGTTGTGCGCGGAAGTAAATGTAATATAAAGTAAGTTACCCTAATGTAATTAACAAAAATTATTTTACTTGAAGTGAATCATAGTATAAATTATTATATCAACTTTTTGTTTTAGTTGAAAGTTCTTGGTCTCAACAAGTAGAGATGCACAATCTACACACATGTTTCAATCATTTGAGATACCCCATTTTAGTATATAAAATTGTACAACTTTCAGTGGTACTAAAGCATATTCCTATTGTATTCTAAATTAATATACAAAGTTGTTTTACATGTATTAAATAAATAAATAAATTATAATTTGTTTAATTTTTTTCGTAAATTGAGATTATGTATATTTGAATTTAAAAATAATTTGCACCTTTTAAAATTTCAAATTTAATTTTGAAATTCCCGCCTTATTTCCCGCTTGAATTAGTTCCGATACAAATCTCTTGAGGCGCTGAATTTCATATCTTAAATTATTGTCGTGAAGCATCTAGAGGTAGGTGATTTGTGGTCATAATCATGCATTTAGTCTTGGTCCGTATTCATGACGCATTCATTAAGGCGTTGCATCACTGTATCGTCTGCAAAACGCAAGTTATCCAACACGTTTCCATTGATAGATATACCTTTCATTGAATTTAAGAGCACTTTTTTAAATACGGTTTTACTGTAGACAATGACAAGAGTAGTGGTGACAGCACGCAACCCTGGCAAACTCCTCTCTGTATTTTGATATCTTGGGTATATCTTTTCAATTAAATTTTTAGCTTTGGTTGTTATGGTTCTGGAGCCTCAACTGACAAGTTTGGCGTTTCAGTCTCCTCCAGCCAAAAACCTCTTTTCCAGTGAGTAAAATAATAATTCATCTTCTTCTGTACTAACAGTATGGCTAAGTTGATTTTAGGTGGAAGTTACAGCAAATGATCTTGATTGAGCATTTATTTGCATTGTGTTTGTTTGGTATGAAGTTATACGAGTACTTACCTTATAAAATCTGTTTTGACAAAATCATGCCTCCTAAGCTTCATTAAATCTTTCTCTTTTTCAATCTTCTCCTTATCTTTAATCTTAGTTCTACTTCTAAATATTTTTCTTCCTCTTACTGACAGGTTCATTCCTAGATATGGGGGTGTTCTGGGAAGGTTTTGTTTGTAAATCATTTCAAATAGACCTGTATCCGCGTTCGGATCTTTCCTTTTGTCTATCACTACTAAAAAAATATAAAGATATCTTCAGTACAAGGCAAGGAGAATATAGTAGATAATAAATTGAGACGAATAATAATTTATGAGATTTATATTATTACTATTAGAACTACTATTATTAAAAGTTACTAAAAGGAGGTTGTAATGGGATAGTAAAGCGCAACATATAGCCACTCCTATTCAAATGTTAACCTCGCCTGCTCGTATGATGATCTAGATCATGGTCTTCTGGTACATCCTGGTAGATAACTAACGAGGCTCTCACGTCAGAGTGTTTGCCGGGATAAGCAATCCACCCTTTACTGGCCAACGGCTTAGGGCGGATGAGCTAGTAAGTGGAAGGACACTAGTCGTTAAGTCGTGTTAGGGGCGCTTACGCGACCTGGAAACCTTAACACTAGACCTTAGCCAGAGGTTACATGAACTTTACTTTTTTTTATTATTATTTCTTAATACTATTTCTTGTCTCTTTCAGTATCTTGCTGTCATTTCCTTCACTTTTTTATAGACATTTTAGGTTGTATCTTTCTTGAAGTCTTTTAATTTCTAGGCATTTGGTTGACATCCAGTTTTCTTTAGCTTCTCTGTATTTTGTTCTAATAATTTTATTGACTCGTTTGTATTTTATTGAGGTTGTTTTATGTTCTCGTCTTACGTCCATGAGGTCCATGATCTCTTGTGTTATCCATTCTTGTTTTCTGTTGTTTTTCGTGAATCCGATGTCGTCTTTTTGTATCTTTGTTATTTCCGCTTTAAGAGCAGTCCATGTTACTTCAACGTCTGTATGTACCAAATTTTTCAGCATTTTTATCTCTTTCTTAACCTTGATACTTAGTTCATTTTTCTTTTCACGGTTCTTCGGTTGTGAGATGTCTATTTTTCTTGACACTCTTTGCCTTTAAGTTTAGTTTAGTTGGTAGTTCGTTAATATGTACGCAAAAAATCATTATCATAGATTAGTTATAACGCTGATCGAAAAATGTAAATAGTTATAGAGATATTCTGAAACTAAATGTAAAAAAAGAAGAATCCTAGCATGTCTTGAGATATTCAAAATAGAGCAAAAAAGAAAATAGGGTGTGTTTTTGAGAACTATTGTAATTTCAGTGTAATTTACCTTTTAAGACGTCCTCCATTGCTCGAGGACATAATTTACTCGTAACACTCGTTGAAAAAGATAAGTCCGGACTACAGTTAATTTCTATTAACCACGGTGTGAAATCCTCAGATAACATGAAGTCAGCGCCATACATTTCGAAAGTGTTCTGCCTTCGATCCATTGTATCCTGACTTGCCAACATTGCACAAGTTATACTTTGCTGCATTCCTTAAAGAATAATTATTTTGTTTGTAACATTAATTTATACAAGTTATGTATGCGTAAGTAGAAGCAACAGTGAAATTATATATTTTTTTTTATTCAAAATTAACGTGCTTGGCAACAAAGGCCACTTACACCAAAATGGTTACAAATGTAAAACTATTCCAATAAATTACAAAAATATGTTATAGAGTACATACTGTTATAATACAATCAAAATTATATTTTATAATATAACTGAACGTCTCTGAGGAATTTTAGACTTGAGGTTGTTTGATTCAAGTTATTGAGTATGTCTTTTAGATCATTTTTAAGGCAATAAAATAGTCTTTTTGATGAATATTAATGACATTCGGTGAAAATATGGTTAATTGTTAGATGTGATTGGCAGGTCTCACAAGTGTGTCGATTGCTGGATGACATCAGGTATCCATATGTTTGTCTGGACATACCGGCAAAGATCAAATCAAGGGGCTATCAACTAACTGTTGGATTTGATGTAATGCTGAGTTATTGGTGTCCCAGTGTTGTTTCCATCGGGTTCTTGTCTGTTTTTTTAATATGAGACTTTAACTCTTAACTAATTTGTATATTAACCGTATTATCAGATGATGTTGAGGCAAGTTTTGCATGGCTGTCTGCAAGTTCGTTGCCTGTAATACCAATATGAGATGGTAGCCAGATTAATGTAACTGTTATTTTTTGGGAAGCGATTAGTTGGTAACAAGTAAGGATCTTTTGGACAATATGATGATCACTGAATATATTTTGGTTGTACTGAGGCTAGTGAGTCTGTGCATATTGCAACTTGTTTATTTGGTGAAGCAATGGATTTGAAAGCTTGAAATATGCTAAATAATTCGCCAGTATGAACGCTACAAAACGAGGGGATACAAGATGATGTGCTAAGGTTATTTGACGTCGTAACAGCACAAAAATTATATTAATATTATTTGTGTTTGGAAAAGTATTTAGTACTTATTTAAATAAACTTTTGACTGGAATTATATATATTTTTTTAAAACTGTTACTCAAAAAGTGTTGCGCTTTCTTAAGTCCACTGCTGTCGTCAAGGCCACCTGTTGGAAACTCATAAAATTCTAGAGGCGTGGTTATTTAATTTTTTTTTTTTTAGAATTAAATTATTTTATTATAAATTAATTCTATTGTTGGTGCCTTTGTCGTTTTGTGAATTTCATAATTACTCGATCTTACCTTACTATTATGGAAATATATGTACGTGACTTCCTACGATTAAAGCTTTTACCGGAAACAATTTCTTAAACCCACACATATCATTCAAAAATGATTCATATTATCTAAAAACTGTTATCGACAAGTAAAGATGTGCTGCGATGGCGAAGATACTACTACCATAAATTCATACTTGTCATTGTATTACTTTTTTGTTGATTAATGAAAATTATTAGAAAAATTGTTAAAAAAACATGCAGTTCTTGCAATTAGTGTTTATCGTTGTTGTTATAGTATCGGCTGTTAAATTTATGTTCTATTGCTTTGACTTGATAGTTTTGTAGTTCTATTTTTCTACTTATTTTGTTAATTAGTTTTTTATTTTTATTTTGAAGTAAAACAAAATATTAGGTTAATGTAACACGATTTCATGTATATTCCATCATCATCACCATCATCATGCAACCTCTTCTATTCACTGCTAGACATAGGTCTTTCCAGTTTTTCGCTACTCTTCACGGTTCTGTGCGTATTGTTGCCATTTCTTCCATATTCGTTTATTGTCGTCCATCCAGCGTGTTGGTGGTCGTTTTCTGCTGCATTTGTTTTTTCTTGGGCGCCAGTCAATTAGTTTTCTGGTCCATCTTAAGTCTTGTAGTCTCACTATGTGACCTGCCCAATTCGATTTCAGCTTGGCTATGCATTCGACAACATCAGTAATACTTGTTATTTTCCTTAGGTCTTGGTTTCCCTTTTTGTCTATTTTTGTCACGTCGAAATTCGATCTCTACGTGCACCTTTGCGAAACTCGCATTTTTAGTGCTGTTGTTTTTGTGAGAGTGAGAGTATTTGCTCGGTATGTCACACTAGGAAGAACGCATTGGTCAAATGTATCCCGTTTCATAGTTATCAGGATGTTGCTTCTAAAGATGTCTTTTAGTGAACCATACGCCGACCAAGCGAGTGTGTAATAAGTACTTTTCTGTCAATTCCACTACTTGATTTTGGATGGTTAGGTGTTTGCTGGAAACCAAATTTGTCATAAAGGCTATAGCGGGATAGGATGGTCAAAAGTGCCCCCGCACTGATCAGAACCGCGACTTGTGCTTTAAATAAAGCATATAAAAACACGACTTCGTACAAATGTTTAGCATCCTGGAGCCCATAGAACCTCTTACATCTAAAAAAGAAGCTTTTTTCGACTTTATTTTTTTCTGGACGCAATTTTGCTTTACAATATCTGAAAAAATTCATAAAGATGTTGCTTTTGTATACAAAAGTGCCTGATTTTTTAAAAAATTTTATAATAAAAATTGAGATTAAGAAAAATTTTCAATAATTTCTTGGATTATGTTAATAATTTTTGGCTTCTAAATATTAATTTTTTATGTACTTTTTTTCGTTCTTTTAAATGGTCAAGGCATAATTTTCGTTATACGACTTGTCTAACCAAATAACCATAATACCGTATACTGTGATACCAACCGTATATTGTGATAATTATTTTCTTTTCTTTCACAAGCCAGTCACAACTTAAAAAAGTTGTGACTGACTGAATAGGAAATGCCTATAGCAAAAAAAATGATTATTCATAGCCCGTAAGAAAATAGATAGAAAAGCATCATACATCTAACTATCTGATTAAGTATCTGTAAGGTAAAAAAAGTGCGATAAGGATAAAAAACGTGGTATTTTCGAATTTTATTTTTTACAAAGAGTTAAATGGGAACTTTTATAATGGAAATTGATAATGTGGAAGAAAATATGTTGAATTACCAACTGAGTTTTGAGGTTATGTGCAAATAAATTAGTAAAAAACGGTTTTTTTGACTTTTTTATGCTTTCCGCTCAGAAATTGAAAATTTTGGTTTGACCAGTTAAAATAACGAAAAAAAAAATACATAACAAATTACTATTTAAAAGTTAGCCAAAAATTACTCACATAACCTAAGAAATTATTGAAAATTTCAATGATTTTTTCTGAGCTTAATTTTCAATTAAAAAATTTGAAAAAAATCTCGTTTTTTTGTATGCGAAAGATACATCTTCATGAATTTTTTCAGATTTTTTTAAAGCAAAATTGCGTCCAAAAAATATAAAGTCGAAAAAAGCTTCCTTTTTCTATTTAAGAGGTTCTATGTTCTTTCTTCTCTCCTTTTTTGTGTAGTAAAATCGTTACAACATTGTTCCATGTTTCCGGTATGCAACAATCTGTTAGACAAAGCTTAAACAAAATTTTTATATGGTTGAGAAGGGCACGTATGCCCATCTTTATAGCTTCTATTATAACTCCATTTTCTCCTGGTGCTTTGTTGTTTTTCATCTTTTTCGTTGCGTCTTAAGATTTCGCTTAGTATGATCTCTGGCATGAGCTCTGTTTTTCGTAATGCGGCGACTTCCAAGTTCGTTTGGTCTTCTCTTTAACTTATGTATAGTTTTTGATAGAAGTCTTCAACTATGTGTAGTACTTATTTCTATTTGATATGGGGAGTCTTTCTTTGTTTTTTAGTTTGTGTATTTCACATTTTCCATTGTTAAAAGACGGCTAGTCTTCTCAGGACTTATAGACTTTTATTCTCTTCTATTGTTCGGTGAACCTTTTCATTTTTAAATTTTCTTAAATCTTTTCTTATAGCGTTTGATACTTCTTTATTTATTTTTCGTAGTGTTTCTTCGTCAATGCTTTCATTTCCTTTGATTTATCTTCTAGTTTCCATTAGTTGCTTTGTTTCAATGGTTATTTTTCATCTTGGCGTCTTTTAGGGCAGCATTTTACCTGAGCCTCTCGAATGGCTTCTACGATATTTTCATTTAGGGTATTTACATTGTTTATGCAATTATTTTGTTGCCTTTATTGATTGATACTGTCTTGGTATTCATTTAAATTCGTTGGGTCGTTCCATATCGGGTTGGCTTTCTTCCTAATCATTTTGGATCTTTCGTTTATTAAGTCTAATTTTAGTTTGGCTCTTACCATTCTATGATCGCTGCCTGTAATAAAGCTATTAAGGACTGTGATATCGTTGAATTTAATATAGGATTTTTCTCACTGATTTTGTAGTAGTCTATCTCGTTTCTGATCTTGAAATCTGGGCTTTTCTACGTCCATCTTCTGTGATCTTTTTTAGAGAAGAAACTATTCATCTGGTATAGATTTTGTTGTAATAGAAATTCTAGTTGTGTTTGTCCATGCCCGTTTCTACCTTTGGATCGAAATTTACCTAGTCGCTGCATACAATCGGACAGTATGTTGGTGTTTCTTCGTTAGCATCGTAAAATTCTTCAATCTGCTTGCTCATTCGGATGGTCCATTGTTGGAGCATATACTTGAATAATCTTTATTTTATACCTTCGGTTTAGCTTTACGATTGAATAGGCTACTCTTGTGGATATGATTCTTGTAATTACTATGTTATCTGCAAGTCTTTTGTGCATAAAGAAACCGACTTCCCCGACTGATTCGGTTTCACTACTTAGACTGTAATATACAGATTGAACCAAATTAAAACGGAACATACAATTTAATACATGTCTGTTTGAACTGCATTTGAAATAGTGGACCAATATAAAACTTGGACAAAAATAAATCCATACCTGGGTATAGACATTGTATAAAATATCGTTCAACTATCTGTCTCGCAACAAAGTTGTTTGCGTAAGACGAGTTTGTCTAAGGAAGCGATAATAGTTCAGGAAATGAAGCTCGAAAAAAGTTAAAACATCGCAATTTTTTCGTCCTGCATGTATCCAGTTGAAATTTTAACAGAAGGTAGGTGATGGCCCAAGGATCAAAATCTATATCGAACCGAAGTGCGCTGAAGGGTTTTAGGGGTGAAATTGTCAAAACCCTAATTGTCAAAAATTATAAAATAACATATTAAACCTAAATATGGGTAAAATTTGGTTTGAATTAATTAAATAATGATAGTTTCGTGCTTTTGAATAAAGTTCCATCATATTTCAACCCTTAAAAAGCGACCCTTATTAGAGATTATTATAAAAAAATTAGTAATGCGAAGAAAATGATTTCACCTTGGAACGATTTGCATAAAAATTTGGAATTAAGCTCAACTCACTCTCTGCTTTATAGTTTATGTCATGCCGATAAAACCTGATTGTCCTTAGGGGTGAAAACTACACCTAATTTTCAAAAATTGTAAAATAACATTACAAATCTTAAGATGAGTGAAATTTGGTTTGGATTAGTTAAATAGTGATTTTTTTATACTTTAAAATACAAATTCATACATTTTCAACCCTTAAAAATCAATTGTTATGAGTGCTATAGGTGAAAATAATTTTTTGCCAAAATTTTGCAACTTTTCAACTTTTGAATATCACCCTTTACAACATTGCAGTTGTTATAAACTAATTTATAAGATATAAATTGAAAAAAGTAGAATTAAATACAAAAAAATTTTATCAACATAAAAAGGCACCATATATTCATATACATTTACATAAATAGTTGAAAATATTTACATTTATAGGTAAAACAATTATAATATTAATTTTATTCGTCATCAATTACATCTTCATCGTGATCTATGTCATCCTCATCTTCTTCAATTATTGGTGGACTGTTATTGCACCCTTTACCTGAGCACCCAGAACAAGTAGAGTTACAGTATAAACCAATTTTTCTGCACCCACATGAAACGCCGCATGCTTTTTTGCATTGGCAAAAAATAATTTTCAAAAGTTCATCGGGTGTAGGTTGTTTGTTTATACATACGGGTAATAACAAACCATTTTTGGAATGCCATCCCCAATCTGTTGCTCTGATATTTTCATTGTCAAGCCATAGACATATGAGCAGATGTTTTATTCTGTTGTATGGGATTTCAAAATAAGAATGCTTAATATTTCGAATATATAACGCCCCACTAGCTAATATACCGGTTTTATAGATTATTATGCTCCAAAATGTACTGTACTATACTAATGGAATTTTCCGGAAAAAAATTAACTGGTTTTTTTAACGTATTTCCTTTAATTTTTAACGATAGAGTGTTTCTTCAAAAACGATTTGTAGAAATTTTTAAGAGCTACAAGGATCTGTGAATTAAATATTTTTGGAACCCTTGGTTTTTAAATGGGGTGAGTTTAAAGGGCTTGAAAAAGATAATGCTTGATCGTAAATCGATGCTTTAAACGGCTATATCTCGCTAAATATTCATTGTACAACAAATATAAATAAAGGATAATTTTAGTCATTTAAAAAGCTACAATTTGGTAATTTTTATTTTTTCATATATTCAGTATTTTCGGTCATATTTAAAAAAAGAAGGGTAAAAAATATGAAATTGTAAATCGTCTGTCGCTTTAAGCTGTACTTTTTCTAAAACTAAGCATTTTAAATGGGTCAAACTATTTGGACGTATTAACAATACATGTACAAAGAAAATTGCAGAAGGGTGAAGATCGATTTTAATTATGGGCGTGGTTAGGGGGTTGTTTTCATCGATTTTTTCGTAAAAAATGAGGTATTGACCTTATTTTCATCAAAACACACTCAATTTTTGAGCTAGAGTCTTTTTTATGATAGGTCTATTTATGCTATTTAAAAAAGGTTTTGTGAGTTTTCTTCCAAAAATGCATCATTTTCCCGATGTTTGAGTTTGAATCTTTCAAATTTTGGCATTTAAAGAAAACCGCTGAACATTGATAGGCCGTATTTCGGTTACTATTATATCGCAAAAACATTTTAAAAAATGAATTGTATTTGTCTTTTTAAAAGCTATAAATTTGTTCTCTACAATTTTTTTAATAAAATGCACCATTTTCGAGTTATTCACGAAAAATCGATTAAAAACGTGGATTTTTTCGTCTAAAAGTTGTTACTTGCAATCGCGAATAACTTGAAAAATATCATTTTATAAAAAAAATGTATAGCCTATTTTTTATTTAGAATTCACTTTTTTAATCGAAACCTGTAGTTAAAACGTAAAAAAAATTTTCACCCCGGAGATAGCAACCACCCCCTAGGCTTTGGCGCACTTTGGTTCGATATAGATTTTGATCCTTAGACTATTACCTACCTTCTGTTAAAGTTAATCCACGCAGCACGAAAAAATTGCGAGGTGAAATACTTCATTTCCTGGACTATAACTGGTTTGACAGCATAATAAAATCGTAGATTTATGTGTAGCTTTCAATTTTTATGAGTTCAGAATCCAGCAGCCCGCTGAAGTATGGGATTTGTATAATATAATTATTTGACAATCTTTTGTTGGCCAACCACCTACAGCAGAATTGAGCGGAAATACATTAGATTCCTATATTCCGAATTTATTTCGTTCAATCTGTATATGCCCTGATTGTAGTGTTGAATTCTTAAATCAATAATTGCAATGACACAAAAGAATAAATTAATAAATATGTTAATTTAATCTAAACATAAAAAATTACCTGGATATATCACGTCGGTCCACTTTTCTCCACATCCTATGTGTTTAAGGTAAGTTTGAAAAGTTTGACAGTCCCACATATTGTCATTGGGCAAGGCTTTATCTCTTTGTTCCATGTTCGTATACTTACACTGCACAGCGTAGTTAGTTAAATGTAATGATTCGTGGAAATTCTCAAGGTTGAACATTTGACCACTAAACCTCAAATAGCTATCCCTAAAAAATATTGATACTGTAATGTTTATTTTAATTTATTTAAAGTCGTCTAACACCAACCCAAATACGTGATTAATTTATAATATTCATTTGTTTAAACGTACAAATTGATATTATAGATTGACTCCTCAAATTCTAATCTCCTCTATATACGTTTCGCCTCATCGAAATGCTTTTATAACCCAGTGCAATTCTCTCGACGGCGCGCGTTAGAACACCTGTAGATGTTCGATCAGGGGCGTAACAAGGGCTTGGCGTAACAATACATTTGTATATTAATTAATCATTGCTCATTTTTGAACGGTGTCTGATAAAGAAGAAGCATAGCGATACGTTGAGTTGGATGGCTGTACATGTGTTCCAAATAATATACGGTTTAAACTCATGAGACAATTATTATATTAAGGCTTCCAGCCGTTAAAGAGTTATTTTTGTTATTTCGTTTTTTTATGACCAGCAGCTTTATTCAACATATTTCTTGGTCTTCGTCCAGGATTTCAAAAGCTGCTTCTTTTTTTCCTATTAAAACTATTAATTTATCACTTATTCAAGAAAAAAAAATTAATACTTATTCTTCTTGAAACAAAAAATTTGGTGGATACAGTCATTTAAAATTTTGGCGGCTGAATTTTAACGTAGAAAATTATTTTTCTATTTTTTTATCTATCTATTCTTTTATTAATTGCACCTTAATTTTTTTCTTTGCTTCAGCATTTAAGGCCCACACATCACTACCATTTATTACGACTGGTCTTGTCTGGTCTGGTTAATGGTCTCTTATAGAGTTGATTGTTTCCGTTGGCTCATCATGAAGATCTTGGCATGTTTTAATGACCATCTTAAAAAGTTTGAATACTTCCATTTCGAGAATTACTCATTGGTATTCATATAACAAGCCACGGGAATACATTTTCCGATCAAAGTTCGTCTACTTAACTTAATAGCATTTTCCTTTAAATTCACAACTCTTACAGAAACAATATCTCGAACTCTCACCAAAGCTTTTGCCTTAAGGAATTCGCTATTGTCCACATTTTCGGATATGACCTTTAAGTCTGGTCATCAGAATTTTCTCAAAATTACCAAATATTGTTACGTTGGACATAGTTAGTAAGCAGATAACATCTTCTTTGTCTTCAAGAAAGGGAAACTCTTTACCATTTACCTCGAAACTCTATTTTTAATGTTCAATACAGCCCCAACTTTTTTTAGCAAGTCTATCCCCAATATAAACTTGTAGGAGATCTCAGCAATTAATTATTGGTATTTAACTGTGATCTAGCCAATGAACACTGACATATTAGCCTCGCTATTAGTATTAAATTAGCTCACCATTTGCTGTTCTAAGCTTTACTGTTGCAAGCGATGTAAGATGGCCATCTTCCAAACGTGCAATAGTCCATTCCGAGCTGAATTCCACCGAAGGACGTAATTTTACCAGTATTACAGAGGCTTTGTTTCCTGAGGTCAGTAATTGCCCCCTGGTATCAAGTTATTCTAGTTAACTGTTATTTTCTTACAATTACGGTGAATGTGGCCTACATCGCCACAATTCCAACAACTGTGCTCGTGTCTCTTCGACATCGTTTTACGAACTACTTTCCGTGCCATTTCTTTCAGATGTTTACCGTTTTGTTCCTCGCCTTTTTCAATTATTTTCAATTATTCGTACTTGATGGCTACGTGAAGTTTGACTAGCTTTTTCGTGTTTCCAGGCTAAAGGAAGCGCTTCATCCAAAACTGTAGATCTTGCTAGTCGTATAACTTTCTGTAGTTTACTGTCTCTTAACCCACTGATGAAGGTATCTGTAGCAATTCATTTCAAAATGTTATCTGATGCCTCCGGATAAGCCAACTGCACTAAACGAGCAACACCTGCTCCAAATTCTTACAAATTCTCACCTGGTCGTTGAGTTCTACTTTTTAGTTGTGCTATGTAGACTTGTTGTAATTCGGCATCTCCATAGGGTTTTTCTAGTCGAGTGAATAAAGTCTGGTAACATTTATGATTGGCTTAGGAATCGATCTTATTATAACTCCAGCAGCAACTCGTAAAGCAGCAGTTAATGAAACAGCCTTTTTTTGTTCGGTCCAATGATTGGCTGTCGCAATAGATTTAAATTGTCTAAGGTATATGGATCAAAAAGACGTCCCATCAATGGTGGCAGTTTGAATCTTATATGATGTGTTTTTTTATCTCTCGTTGATTCTTCGTTAAATATAAGATCTAAAACTACTGCATTAATTGGTAATAGCACTTTTGGTTATCAAGATCTCTAAGTGTTTATTATGTTTTGGTTATAATGCTCTGTAATTGGTATAGAAATTACTCACGAAACATTATCGAATTTCTCGTCGTTTTGTCTATCTGTTTCTTGAATAATTTGAGAAATTTAATTGAATTTGTTTCCAAAATACTCTCGAATTTATCATCATTCCTTTTAGAAGTTTTTTTTATCACTCAAGAAACATTTTCTAATTTTCCATCAACTATTTTCGTTAAAACTGCGCTTCTTCTGCTAAGTGAAACTTTAATATCTCTGGGTCATCTCCATTCTTGTTGAGGACATCCCTAAGTCATTCTTGAATTTTTTCCATGGGCCCGCTGCAGTCTTCCTACCGTTCTTCTAGTTGTTCATGCAACTGTTTGACTATCAATTCTACGAGCAGCATCTTTAGTCATGCACACACATACTTTCCAAATGTTCTTTCTTATGAACAATCACTACCGTACTACGTATATGTTCTCTATGAATAATACTTTTTAAAAGTTTAATTAAAAGTATTTTCAAAAGTCACTGTTTAATCTGTTTTTAAATTAATAAATTACCCCATACCTACCACTACTGTAACGATTTTAAATTAAACGAGCGGTTCTAATATATAAACCATTATTTAAAGCACGATATTATCTTCAAACTTCCAGTGCTCTGGTGAGTTAATATAAACCGGGATGCCTAGGTGTTCCAAAAGTAATATGTGAAAAATGTAATATAAATTTGTGCTTTACGCCTAATTTAAATTGCTTTGTAAACTTTTATAAAAATTAACTTTTTTTCTATTGTAACTTGAGAGTCACAAACCTTATTAAAATAAAAGAAATACAAAATTAAAAAAATTAGAGAATATATATAGTAGAATTTTTTTTGCAGTTGAAAAAAAATTGGAGAGTACAGGGTGTTAGTTTTTAGGACAGAGTCGTGTACCTTCAGTAAAGAACTAAACATCCATGTTTATAAAGTTTTATAATCAATGCACCACTTTACTATAGAAGGATAACGCAAGGTTTGTTCTTAAATCAAGTTTTCCCACTTATTTTAAGTCGAATTTACAATTTCGGAAAATCTAGGCACTAATGTAGCATCTTCTCTTGTTTAAATATGGAAGAAAAAGGTAAAAAGAAACGAATTGTGAACTGACATATCGATGGCACAAGTAAAAACATGTTTCTCATTTAACAATTTGATCAAGTCTTAGAGGGTGATCTGATCTTCATCTTGATTTTGCAACGTTCTTAAATAGCGAATGAAGTGGATATGATAAGACAAGAGGGTCACCAACTAACTTTTTAATCGAAAGGGGTCTCCATTTAAGAATGTTTGGAAAACACTGATGCAACTTTTTAAATTTTAAAGTTTATTGTTACCATGTTACATTACTTACCTGTACATCCAGATAGTAAGAGGCTGAACACAAGTGACTATAAACCATTGTCTAATATCAAATTTCGTTTTATATATAATCAGCGGCCTCTCTAAAAACGACTAACGATTTTTTTAAGTTGAAAACGCAAGAATCATCTCTCCACTTACCAATATACTTTTGTACTACGTATTTCATCTTCAAATTCATAACCTTATCTACGTCACTAATATTTTTTACTAGGTATATCCCCCTGCCACGACATTTATTTCCTGGTTTTAGTATCCAGATGTTTTTCTTTCCGTCTATTTCGTATTGTGGCCAGTACATTTTTATTTCCTTAAGAGTTGATTTCACATTAGCTATAAAAAAAGTTTAAAATATTTAGTTTTTAATTATTAAACACTTAAAGGGCAGCACGGCTACGAGCGCAAAGCAGGTCATTTTCCCATGTAAATCTTCATAAGAAACTCTAAGGTCCATTCTGATCATTTTTGGGTCATTTTGTGGTGGAGGCGCGACGGCTCATCCGATCTCTACGTAAGATTCTCGTTGGAAAGGTGAAGGGACGGGAATACGTTGAGATACAAAAACACATGGCGGCGTATTGCCAAAAGAATTCTAAGCTTGTAACGTCTAAACGGCTCAACTTACACTAACGTGCAAGGGATTGATGGAAAGGGGAGGTGGTAAAGAATATGTTAAGACAAAAATAAACGCAAAGACAATGCCAAAAGGGCACTGTATCGTATCTTCGTTGCTAATAATCCGATTGCAATGTATAAGGCGTCAAACGAAAGGCGAGAGGATAATGAGTACGTCAAGATAAAAACAGACCCAAAGATATTACCAAAACGGCAGTATAACATATCTTCGTTTCTATATATTCTATCTAATAAATTCATAATTTCAAAAGCAAACAATTTTAAACAAAATCTTAAAATACGCCAATTTTAATTTTTAAATAGCCATCAAATGTTATATATGTGTTGAGCATTCCATCCTCAGTGTTGGCCTAATGACGTTATCGACGATTTTTTTGATAGGTCTTCTAATCGTCTTTGCAACGATGTATCATTTAAATATTTATTTCTAAAGGGTTAACCAAAATAATGTACTTAGTTAAATAAAATGGAATTACAATAAATATTCATTCACTAAACTAAATTACACTAAAGACCAATAAAACAAAGTTGTGTTTTTTGCTGGTTCCAACATGAAATACATTGATGGGTTAACAATGACATATTCTAATCTGAAAATAATTATTGTAGTATCAGTCAAGCATTTAAAGTTATTTCAGAAAAATATTTAAATCAGTATTGTCATTGACTGGTCGTTATTGAAAATGGTCTATTAATTTGACAACAAATCTACGTCAAATTTTTACTGTTCGAGGTTTCTGTCGACATTAATAATATGATTAATAAGAATCAAACTTATATATATATATATATATATATATATATATATATATATATATATATATATCCGGTTTTTTAGGCGTTACGCCCGTCCGGTAGGGATCTATGGAGGAGTATCACCAAGCCGCAAGCCCTTATCTCTTGCCGTACTGCTCCACCATAGGCCGATCAGATCCCAGCATATCCTAGTCTAAGCCGCAGATTCATGTAGAATTTTAAACTGCTGCGTTAGACTTTTTGTTTTCAGTACACCGAGCTGGGGCTCGAACCCACATCCACTGAACCATTCGACAGTGAAGCGAATGAGAGGCAGCCGCACAGCCCGCTGAGCTATCTGACCGACAGGATCAAACTTACAGAAACAAAACAATTCGAGATTTTGATTATGATTGGGTGTGGAAGGTTGTAACAAAAATGTGTTATGGAGTCTGGGTGACTCTATCCAGTGTAGCAAAAGGGTGAACTCTAAAATGTACCTTGATACACCAACGAACTAATATGTGGAATAACGGAAGATGGAAGGGATTAGATAGAAATAAATTATGTAAAAGAAATAAATAAAGGGTAAATATGAATTTTAAAATATAACAAAAATTAAGTGTTGGCTAGCGACTATGCAGGAGAATGACCACTTGAAACTCAAAGAAGGATTCGGCCAATTTGCATGCCCTACAGAGACCGTAAGATATAAGAACTAATGACTAGAAAACCACCGAGAAATAACAGATGAAAGATAAAAGTTGCTCTAATGAATGTTTGGGCGCCAGGAAGTTAAATGTTTTCTTCCGAGATATCTTGTATTGCTGAAATATGAAAGATAGGTACTAATCGAAATATTAAATTTTAACCACAACTTTAATAATTACCAAACTTAGGTACAGGCTATTTTAAATGCTTATATACTACCCATTACCTCTTATGTACAATTAACTTAGCTATATTTACAGTAGAATCCCTGAATATAATTATAAAACAATTTACCCTTAATATACCCCTTAATTTCAAATTGTGACATAGGTTATACCCAATAATAATGTATAAATAATAAATATAATTATATACTACTCACTAATAGTTTAGTTTTCGTTCAAGAATTGTTTAGGTTTTCAAGTGAAAACTCTCTATATATGTGTACACACGATAACCTAACAAAGAGAGATTCAAGGGAGAGTTATAATCTCATCCCTTGGTAGACAATAAATAATTAAATTAAGTTGAAAAATGATTAATGTTTTAAGAAAATTGAAGGTATTTATTATTAAGGATATATATTTAAATTAAAAGTGGAACCAAAAGTTAAAACCTTGAAGATAACGTAGCAAAAGTTATTTAAAATAATTGAATGAGAAACAACAATAAAAGTAAGTTCTTCCTGTCAGTTTCCGTAGGTTGCCCTTGGAGATGATCCGGTGGAGAACTAGACTCAGATGGTAAAAGGTACACCAAACTTGGATTCCATGTATCAGGTATTCTTAGACAAATAAGTCAACTTAAAATTCTTCTTAAATTTCCAATAAAAACCAGTGAACTTAAAACTTCTTCCCCTTGTCCTTAATAAGTACAACCCAAAAAAACTAAAAAGATTTCTTCCCCTGACTTGCAACTGGATTCTGGGAGTAGGCGGCTAGGGTGACCCAACTGAAAGTATCCTCGTACAAACAACAAAATAACTCAAATGATTTCTTCTAAAACGAACAGCTCTTGACAATAAAATAAACTTAAACTCAATTCGGGAAAAATGGCACTTCCCAGCCGCTACTACTCTGATCGAAACGATCTTCCTTCAATCACATCCAGTTGACAAGTCCCTGTTAAGGTTTTACCAAACCGTCGAATGGATGTACTTTCAGAATCTTACCACTGGTGGCGCGGTTTAATGCTAACCTTAGAAAATAAGATTTGCTTGGAGTTATTTAAATATTTAGTTTAAGAATATTTCAAATATGAATTTAATTTAGAATTAAATTAAAAGATTCCAGTCATAAAAAAAGTAAACGATTATTTAAGTAACGGACTCGTTACAAGGTTGTACAGGCAGAAGTTAGTAATTGATTGCGGAGTAGACCAATCACCGCAAGGATTGTCACTCTGGTCGGCCAATAACAAAGGGTTTTATTAACTACGTTTGTATTGGCCTTTCGACGGAAGATCGCTGCGGAGATATAATCAAGAAATGCATAAAAGGCAACGCGTCTTCCGATCGGAATTAGGCACAAAATAATACTAACAAAAACTCCAAAACCCGGGCACGTAGGGTCCAACCCATTGAGCACCAAGTCGTCGAACTGAGCCGGGGCTCAGAGCGGAGACTTGAGGTTCAAGTAAGCAATTTTAGTTCGCAGATAAGCCACAATAAGATAACAGGAATATAGCGACAATGCGCTGTCCCAAGTGTTGCATTCGGTCAGAAAACTATGTTATGGTTCTACTACCCAGGACCTCCACATGAAGAGCATTTGGTTGATAGTTGTGCCTCTAGCGCGCATCAGAGTGCTATAGGTGGGAAAGGGATGGATCTGGAGCATTGGAGCGCGGTGTGGTGACTACTGTTTTTACTCGAGTTAACACACCTCGCTCCAATGAATTATTACACCGAAACATAATTCTTAGGAACGTGAAGATCTCTCCAGAAGTGACTATAAATAGTACATTTTGAAATTACTTACCATAAGCATTGGTGAGAGATTCAACAAAATCAATAAAAAATCCATTTTGGTGGACAATATTGTAATAATTTGTTAAAAATTGATCCCATTCATGATCCCAGACCTGTGGCATCTCTTTATCTATATCTAAATGTTTTTTCTTCGACAAATAGTCATTACATCTAAAAAATATTTTAAAATTAGTCCAGTCGTCAGAGAGTTGAACTTAAAAATCATACTAATAAGCTGAATTTCACAGAGAATATTAATTTTGGGACTCCACTTCCAAAGTTTACCACTTTTGCCCCTAGGTTTTCCCCTAAAACTCCCTCGCAGGGTGGTAAAAACGCAAGAAAATCGGTTTACCAAGAATCTGTACACCGTAGAAAAAATGTTTCAAATAAAAAATGTAGCTGAGATAATTTTAAACAAAAATGTTTATAAGCATTGTTTCAGTTTTGAGTTGTCGTAACTGTGTTAATGACGCATTTTAAATGTGACTAAAACACGCAGAATTTAATGTTTTACATTACAATTTTGGGTGTAGTTAATTTCAGAAGTTTCGTTCTTTTGAAAAACGTACTAGTATAATTAAAAACAACAACACTTATTCCGATCATTTTAGAACAGAGGCAGGTGTCAGGCAGGGATGCATAATCTTGCCACCTCTGTTTAATATATACAGCGAACACATTATGCCAAAGATAATAGACAGATGGAAGGGCGGAATATCAGTAGAAGTTCAAAAAATCAGTAACTATGAAACATAATCAGAAAATATGCTGATGACACTTTAATAGCCGCGGAAATCAAGAAGAAATGGAAGACATAATGAGATGTCTGAAGGAGAAAAGCAAAACATATGGACTAAAGCTAAATAGTAGTAAGACAAAGATCATAATAGTAGACAGAGCTCGGAGTAATCTTCAACACATTCAAAAAATTGTGGCTTTGAAGTAGTAAATAGTTTGATATACCTGGGGTCCCTAATAACAAATGATGGAGGGTGTGACGGATGGATACGTAGAACGTTAGCTAGAACAGCTATGATGTAACTGGTAGCAATTTATAAAAATTCTTCTTCTTCAAGTGCCCTGTCCGTTGCGAACGTTGGCTATTAACATGGCAATTTTGATCTTGTTTGCGGCGCTTCTGAATAGTTCGACCGTTGTGAGCCCGAACCACTCCCGCAGATTTTGGAGCCACGAGTGTCTTCTCCTGCCTGGCCCTCGCTTACTGTCTATTTTTCCCTGGACAATCAATTGTAGCAGACGGTACTTATCGTGTCTCAATATGTGGCCTAGATATTCAAGCTTTCTTTGTTTAATTGTATTCACGATTTCTTTCTCCTTTCCGATTCTTTGGAGTACCTCTATGTTGGTGACATGTTCGGTCCAGGATATACGAAGAATGCGTCGGTACACCCACATTTCGAATGCTTTCGAATTTCGAATAAAAATTCTAGCCTTACAATACACACAAAACTAAGGCTGGTAAGGGCACTCATTTTTTCCATAGCCACATATACATAAATTACGTGGAAAGCGGATAAAAATAAACTGGACGCTATTGAAATGTGGGTATACCGCCGCATTCTCAAGTTGAGAATATCCTAGATTCATCATCGCACTAACGGATCGATACTAGATCAACTTAAAGTAAAGGATAGATTGCTTAAACAAAAACAACACAGATATTTGCAGTATTTTGGACACATTGCTAGAAGAACAGGTACGATGGAAAAACTGAAAGTCGAGGGCAGAGTTGAAGGGAAGAGACCTAGGGGAAGATCTCCAAGCCGTTGGGTATATCAAATAAAAATATTAATTAACCAAGGGTTACATGAAGCTGAACAACTAGTCCAGACAGTAAAGGATGGAGGAAAATCGTGAAAAAACTGTAAACGCCTGATGGTGTCACTACATCCCAAAAGGGATGAGGACTGAGAAGAAGGATAATTGAAAAAAAAAAGTTTTAAATCTTTTAGATCGTTTTTTGTGTGAAAGTTTAATTCCAGCGTTGTTTAAGCATATTTCAAATGCCCCACATTTATTGAAAAAACGCAAAACTAAAATTTTGTGCTATAGATTTTAAAGGTTAGGCTCTAGTAATTAATACTTCATAGTGGCCAATCAATGAAAGGGAGATATTGTATTGATCTCATGAGAATCATAAAAAATGGCAAAAATCGCGCCACGTTTATTTATTTAACACCTGTATAAAATCTGAGTTCCTCTGCGGCTAAATACAAAAGCTGCATACGAAAGCTGAACTCTAAGTCGCATCTTGATTTTTGTCAATAGGTCACTCGAGTCAAAAGATATCGAATTTTTACCGTCAAGCTTATATAAATTTTATTGAACATTGACATACAAAATCGACGGTCGCTTCAAGCATTGTTTATAGGAGAACGGTTCGTTTTACACAAAAAATGCTTATAAACAATTATTTTTAAAATTACCTCAGCTACATTTTTTATTTGAAACATTTTTTTCTACGATCTACAGATTCTTGGTAAATCGCTTTTTTTGTGTTTTTACCTTACTGCGACGGGAGTTTTAGGGGGAAGCCCGGTGGTAAAAGTAATAAACTTTTTTGCATCTTTTTGAGATCCCAAAATTAATATTCTCGGCAGAATTTATCATTTTTTTTGTTTGTATGATTTTTAGAGGTTGAGTGGCATTTTCGTCTCTGACGACTGGAGTAAATTAGAATAGTGGTAAAACATTGTGACTCGAGTCAGTCAGTCAACTGTGCAGTTTCTTTTCTCTTGTTTAACAGTATTGTATTAAAGATTCTACAAAATATTGTTCTGAAGCTATTTTCTTGTGGCATTGTAAATTAATTACTATTTATAACTGGGAATAAGCCACAATTAAAGATAAAAATACGTTTATTGACGTTTCGATTTCCAATTCCGAAATCGTTCTCAAAATACAAACAGTAAATTAAACAAATTTTGTTTTTTGTTACATAGTGAAAAAATTCTTCTAATAATTTAATTTTATCTGACTCATTTATATTGACAATTCAGACATACATTATGCATTTTAAAGTAGACGACTTTAAAATGATATTGCCAATATTGTTGAGTTGCGCTCCTGGGACGACTTTACTTATAAGATAGTTCATTCGATTACATGAAATCAACTTTAACTTGAGAATATCCGTCAGAAAAAATCATAGCATCTAATTCGTCTTTAAAAAGACAAACACATGACATGATGACAGTAAAATTCTCCTGTTAGTGATTCCATAGTAAGTTATGAGGGAAAAAACCAGGAAAAAAACCTCATAATACTATCCCGACATTGTAAGTATTTGTTCGTGAATTTAGTTTACCTTCAACAAACATCAAAAATTCTGATTTATATGTTACGTTATTTAAAAACATAAATGATGTATCCTCTATATGTTACTGACTTACTAATACTGGTATTTTCTTATTAATAAACTTCCTCTTTCAATATTGGTAACCAGATCCTACTACATTCTGCCGAGGAATTTACGACACAATTGGCCTCATTTAGCATAATTAGAGCCGCTTCTTTGATTTTTCTTTTTTTACCATCCGTTTCTTTTAGGACTATATTTGAATTATTCCATTGAACCCTATGTTCATTATCCCATGCGTGTTTACATATTTGAGATCTATCAAATTCTCTATTTTTAATATAAGATTGATGTTCACTTATTCTAACATTTAATGGCCTTGATGATTCACCTAAATAAAACTGATCGCATTCACAAGGTATTTTATAAATGCAATTCTTTGTCCTTTCTTGTTCATTATTAGGTTTGGTTTTGGACAAACTAGATCTCAACGTGTTTGTTGTTTTGAATGTTGTAATTCAAAACAACAAACACGTTGAGATCTATTTTGTCCAAAACCAAACCTAACAATGAACAAGAAAGGACAAAGAATTGCATTTATAAAATACCTTGTGAATGCGATCAGTTTTATTTAGGTGAATCATCAAGGCCATTAAATGTTAGAATAAGTGAACATCAATCTTATATTAAAAATAGAGAATTTGATAGATCTCAAATATGTAAACACGCATGGGATAATGAACATAGGGTTCAATGGAATAATTCAAATATAGTCCTAAAAGAAACGGATGGTAAAAAAAGAAAAATCAAAGAAGCGGCTCTAATTATGCTAAATGAGGCCAATTGTGTCGCAAATTCCTCGGCAGAATGTAGTAGGATCTGGTTACCAATATTGAAAGAGGAAGTTATTAATAAGAAAATACCAGTATTAGTAAGTCAGTAACATATAGAGGATACATCATTTATGTTTTTAAATAACGTAACATATAAAATCAGAATTTTTGATGTTTGTTGAAGGTAAACTAAATTCACGAACAAATACTTACAATGTCGGGATAGTATTATGAGGTTTTTTTCCTGGTTTTTCCTCATAATTTACTATGGAATCACTAACAGGAGAATTTTACTGTCATCATGTCATGTGTTTGTCTTTTTAAAGACGAATTAGATGCTATGATTTTTTCTGACGGATATTCTCAAGTTACAGTTGATTTCATGTAATCGAATGAACTATCTTATAAGTAAAGTCGTCCCAGGAGCGCAACTCAACAATATTGGCAATATCATTTTAAAGTCGTCTACTTTAAAATGCATAATGTATGTCTGAATTGTCAATATAAATGAGTCAGATAAAATTAAATTATTAGAAGAATATTTTCACTATGTAACAAAAAACAAAATTTGTTTAATTTACTGTTTGTATTTTGAGCACGATTTCCGAATTGGAAATTGAAACGTCAATAAACGTATTTTTATCTTTAATTGTGGCTTATTCCCAGTTATAAATAGTAATTAATTCTACAAAATGTTTAGTGGTTTCACCACACCTTTAGTCCTCAATATTTTTTTTAAATGTTGTGTTTATATGGGATTAAGCCACAACTGATTGTAATGATAATTTCATTTTTAGCTTTCAAAAAGGAATTTGACGTTTCGATTTTTTAACTTGACATTTAAACAAATTACTAGACGATATACAACTCGTCTTAAGACAAAACTTGTGGTTTTTGCACGATAGGACACCACCATATTATTCGTTTATATTTATTTATTCGAGTTTCGTCAATACTTATATCAATAGGTCGCATGGATAGATTGGTCGTAGTCCACCGGTCGAAGTCCGTCGCCACCAAGTAGTCCTAATTTCAATCCTTTTGATTTTTAAATTTGGTAGCAAATGAAGGCATTAGTTTACAAAAAAAGCATTAATTCTCTTTTGAAATTGACAGATTGAATCAAAAAAGAATAACTTGTTTTTGTAAAATTTAACGCTTCTTCATATGTTTCTATTATGTTACCCATAGTTCAGCCGAAAATAATAAATACCTTTCTAAAGCAAATTGTAAAGTAGCATATGGAACTTTTCCGTCTGCTGATTGAATATCGTGTTTGTCACCATCCTCATAAGTCTCAGCAAACCATTTTAAAAGTCCTATACATGCTGTCATTCTAAAATCGTCGACGAAGAAATTATAATGATCTGGAAAACCTGCAAAACAACTAATAATAAATATATCACTTTATTATGTTTAACATTATTTAGCTTAGATGGGAATTAAACACAATGGCAGTTGAAAATACTATTACGGTAGTTCCAGAAGATTTGTTCCATATAGAATAGGTCCCTTGAAGAAAAAGAAGAAGTATTAGAACTCTAGAGTCATGGCATCGAATTATTCCGAAATGTCTCGTAAGGCCAGAAAATGTATGTAAACAAGTTGACAGTTTAAGTAGTTAGTATGTAGTAAATTGTATTTTTAATCATTCAATAAAGTTTTTAATAAGTATTGTAATATTCTTTTCTATTTAAATAAAATTAATTACAAAAAAGTGTAACCAGAGGTGCAATAACAGAATTATTAAGTAATTGTTAATAGTTAATACAAAATCTACTGAATTTGATGAAGAAATGAATATGTCTGGACCCTCCGCATGGTTTTTAAAAATGAAAGAGGAAGATAAAGAGAGGAAGAAAAGCTTAGGCAAGAAAAGAAAGAGGTGAAGGAGAAGCGTTGAAGAAATGAGAAAGGGAATCTAGATAAGAGCAAAAGACAGAAGAAAAGCCGTAGAAATGTAGAAAAGTAGGTAAAAATTATAAATAGTTTATAACAAATTCACGAAAGTTTTAAGTTAGAAGTAAGTTAAATTACTACTAGAATAGACAAATTAGAAGGACAACAGAATGATATAAAAGCCGATTTAAAAAATAAAATAGTACAACAACAAAAGTGTTTAAAATCTAATTTAGAAAGACAAATAGCTGAGTTAGAAAGAAAAATTTGTGCCCAAGCTTCTATATACAGAGTGGCCCAAAAGTCTGGAAACGGCCAATTATCTCGTAAATTGCTAGTCATAATTGTACAAAATTTGAGGTACACCTATTTTGTGATACGTAGATTCCATATTTCATATTTACAATGTTGCCAGATTTGTCGTTTCTCTGATATTATTGGTAACTTTGGTTTTTCAAATTCATCACCCTGTATATTCATTCATTATTGGAATCTCCTTTTCAATACGAGTTCAAACATATGTAACACTTATGATTTTATTTAGTCTGGAAGGTCTTAAATACATAAAACAGAAGTCTGGCAACGCCTAATTGTCTGAATAATTTTTTTAATACTAACTATTTTTAACTGCATTAAAACATAACAATTCATAGATTACAACATTTTTTAACAGAATGGTTACTTTATTAAGTGTTCAAAATGTGCTCCATTTGTAAGTTGACAGTACCCTAATCGATGGTAGAATGCATCTATCACATTTTTCCATGATTGTCTAGAAATTCTTCGAGATTCATCGGTAATTCGTTGCCTTATTTCTGCAAGACGTACTGCTTTAGTTTTGTAAACTGAATTTTTCAACTATCCCCAATAAAAATAATCTTTAGGATTCAAATCAGGTGAACGTGGAGACCATTCAATTCTACCTTGTCTACCGATCCATCGTACGGGAAATATCTCTTGTAAATAACGAGCATCTACACCACATTTTGTAAAATTATGACAAGCAATTTACAATTTACGAATTACGAATTTACTAAATAGATACCGATCAGGTAGACCGAAAAATGTTATAAATGACAACAAAACTTTAGATATATTGCAAAGTTTTGTTGAAGATCCACATAAATCCTCACGCAGCGTTGCACAACTACATGATGTAGGATGTTCTTCAGTCTTACGTGTATTACGTAAAAATAAGTTTAAATCATACAAAATTAACTTATTGCAAGAATTAAGTGAAGATGACTTCGATTAGAGTTTACTGAAGTAATGATGGATAAAATTTAAAATGATGAAAATTTCTTTAACGGAATATGTTTTTCTGATAAAACAACCTTTACACTGTGTGGCAGTGTAAATCAATACAATTTAAGGTACTGGAGTGACGTAAATCCACACTGAATGCGTGAAAATCATACTCAAAGACCACAAAAATTAAATGTATGGTCAGGTATAGTAGGTACTCAGTTAATTGGGTCATTTTTTATCGAAGGAAATTTAACTTCAGATAGTTACGAAATGTTACTGATAAATTAAATTGTACCTACACTGATAAACTGGTTTGGGGCCAATTTTAATCAGATATGGTTTCAGCAAGATGAAGCTCCAGCTCATTTTAATGTAAATACTCGGCGTTATTTAGAAGAGATATTTCCCGGACCATAGATCAGTAGACAAGGTAGAATTGAATGGTCTCCACGTTCACCTGATTTCAATCCTAAAGATTATTTTTATTGGGATAGTTGAAAAATTCAGTTTACAAAAACCAGTTTAAACCAGTACGTTTTGCAGAACTAAGGCAACGAATTATCTATGAATCTCGAATAATTTCTAGACAATCATGGAAAAATGTGGTTGACGCATTCTACCATCGATTAGGGTACTATCAACTCACAAATGGAGAACATTTTGAACACTTGATAAAGTAACCATTATGTTAAAAAATGTTGTATCAATTGTTACGTTTTAAAGTAGTTAAAAATAGTATTAAAAGATTTATTGAGAGAATTAGGCGTTGTCAGACTTCTGTTTTATGTATTTAAGACCTTCCAGACTAAATAAAATCATAAGTGTTATATGTGGTTGAATGTCGAATCTGAACAAACAGCCTCATCATATTTCATAGTTGTATCAGGCTCAATTGAAATTAGAAAAAATTTAAAATCACCCACATTCGATGTTTAAACATCATGAGAAACATCGTTTTTAATTTGAAACTGTAGCTAGAGCAATTGAAAGGTTTATTTCAAAAACAACCAATATCAAAAAAGTAAATTTTCAGGAATTAATAAAAACTTAATAAACTGGTAATATTCAAGCCAATGTTTTTTTTTTCTAATTTTTATGAATTAGGATATATACAAACTGTTTAACTGTTGATCGACCCCTGTATAACAGTTGTCGCACACATCGTGGAACCGGTGACCCCTCTCCCCCCGGGCAGCCGCCAGTGTTTGGCCTACGGCGTTGACCTTCGACCGACAACTAGTTTTCAGCATTCGAGATTCAGTCAAGTTGATATAAAGACTTGTATTCATTTTCAGTGCATATTGTAAATTCAGTTTTTTATACTTTATAACGTTTTATCTATTCAATTAAAGTTTTGGAATAATAATTATATGTATAATAATTCATACATAATAGTTTGGTCCTTCATAGAGCGGATGATAACTAGTGCAATTATAAGTTATCGTGTAAATTGGAAACCGAAAAAGTTCTACCGCATGCAGACAATTCCATGCCGGCATTTTTCGACGATTAGATGCAGATCAACCGAACAAGAGTCAAAGGTCAGTAATTAGCGTTTCATTTACCTACTCCTATGATTTTATCCTTGTTTCGACTTGATTTTATTATTTAATTCATTCTTAAAAGACTCGAATCAATTTTATACAATAAAATAAACATATTTTTGCTGAATTTACGTTACATTCATTGAATTATTTATGCACATATTTAATACTTATTAGCTACATATTGCATCATATCTTACATTTTAACTATTTCGTTATATTTGTTATAATATACCACTAGCATTTGAACTATTTTTAAACCTTATTCTTTCATTTCCACATTCTAGCTGTTTTTCTATTGTACATTTCACTAATATTAAGGTAGATTTACAATTTAACAAAATAGAACACTATTAATCATTCAAAATGCCAAACGACGAGCTTGCTTCTGAACTTAAAAAGCTTCATATCTCTCGTGGAAATTATAAATCTCAGATAACAAAATTTAAAAATTACTTAGATAAAGAAAAATCAAAAACTAATCCTGACTTTACTCAACTTGAAGTTAGATTATCAAAAATTGAACCTCTATTTCAAGCCTTTGATGATATTCAAACTCAAATAGAATGTTTAGAAGACGGTAATGATACAGTAAATCAAAACGAACGTCTAGAGTTCGAAGACAGTTATTATAGTGTCGTTTCTATAGGGCAAGCAATTTTAAATAACTCTGGCGATCAAAATGTAGATAATACATCAATCTCTAGCAATTCTAATATTTCAAATGCAGCAACACAACACCTTAAGTTACCTTCTATATCTTTACCATCTTTCGATGGAAAATTCGATCAGTTTTTATTCTTTAAAGACACTTTTCAATCGTTAATTCATAATAACAAATCTATACCTGATATTAATAAATTCCATTACTTGCGCTTATCGTTAAAGGCTCAAGCAGCGGATTTATTAAAATCGCTTGAAGTCTCAGCAAACAATTATATTGTAGCATGGAATCTACTTATTCAACGTTATGAAAATAAACCTTTATTGAAGAAAAATCATATAAAGGCTTTATTTGAGACAAAACCTGCTACAAAAGAATGCCATCTAGAATTAAGAAACATTCTAGATGACATGAATCGGCATTTAAGAGCCTTACAAGTTCTAGAAGAACCTGTAGATTCTTGGGATGCATTAATAATTCATTTATTTTCCACAAAACTGGATTCAATAACTCGTCGTGAATGGGAGTGTGAATATGCCAAACATGACACAGTAACGCGAGAAATATTTTGCAATTTTCTGTCCGAAAAATGCAGAATTCTTGAAACTTTAAATATTCAAGGCAATAAGGTAAAACAAAATGTAAGAAGCTTATTTTCAAGTAATTCTCCAACTTGTTATTTTTGCAATAAAGATCATACTATTTATAACTGCAAATCCTTTATCGCGCTAAGTCCAAATTCTAGGCTAGCTGAAGTCAAAAAATTGAAACTTTGTATCAATTGTTTGCGAAATAATCATTCAACTAACCAGTGTCGTTCTATGCACTGCAGAAAATGCAACAATAAACATAATACTTTGTTACACTTTGGTTTCAATAATCAACATAACCATCATAATTCTAAGTCGAATAATCATAATTCATCTAGTAGAAATGCATCGCAAGACAATCCTAATTTCAATCCTAATGCTAACAATTCTACTGAAACTTCCGATTCTCCTGAAATTAGCGCAAATTGTTT